CCGCGCAGGTGGTGATGGGAGTGACGTGGCGCTCCCATGTAACGCCTCTCCTGCGCGAGCTGCACTGGCTCCCGGTGGTCTTCCGAGTGCGCTTCAAGGTTTTGGTCATCACCTTCAGAGCGCTCCATGGCTTAGGACCTGGCTATTTGTGGGACCGCCTGCTGCCACCAATAGCCTCCCACTGACCAGAACGCTCCCATAGAGAGGGGCTCCTCCGGGTGCCGTCGGCCAAACAATGTCGACTGGCGGCCCCCAGGGGGAGAGCCTTCTCTGTGGGGGCACCTACGATCTGGAACGAGCTCCCCCCGGAGATACGGAGGATTCCGGATCTGCGTACCTTCTGTCGCGCGCTTATGACGTTCCTATTTCATCAAGCTGGCCTGACCTAAATTTTTCCTCTTTTTAAATGGAAATTTTAAATTTGGTTTTAATTTATTGGGGTTTTAAAATTGGTTCAGCCAAATTTATTTAATTAGTTTTATCTCTATTTTAAATTTTGTATCTATCTGTTTTATTTTATGGCTGTTCACCGCCCTGAGTCCTTCGGGAGTAGGGCGGTATACAAATTTAATAAAATGAAAAATGAAATGAAAATGAGAATGAACAGTCTGGGAATGAGCAGAATTCACAGCCGTTGAAATAAAAAGAGGGGTTTTGGGACTCATTGTGTGCTTTTACTGTATCAGGAAGCCTAGGTCACAACAGGAGGGCTTAGCTGTCTTCTTGAGCTCTGCTTGCACTGAGAGAAAAGCAGGACCTGTAAATTCTTTGTTACTTTTCCCTTCTTGTAACTAAAAAGCACATTGTGTTGCTGTTTGGAAGAGGGTCACACAAAGGCTTGCTTTGCAGAACATGCTTAACTAGGTCAGTAATGTTTCCAGCAGTTTCATTTTCACCATGTTAGCCTTAGCTAGCAAACCAGTTATTTCTGTGTCCCTCCACTATGTAAAAAGGGCCACTTTTTAAAAAAAATTTGATTTATATGCCGCCCTTCTCCGGAGACTCAGGGTGGCTTACAATGTGCTCAGCAATAGGGATTGAGGGATTCAGATTACGCATTCCTCACACTGATTACAAACTGACATGAGATTGTGTTAGGGACCACTTTTATCTGAATGCAATAGCTGCATTTGGTCCGCTACAGGATTTACCACGCAATCATAACTGAGCAGTCAAAAGAAAGACTTCCTTTGCAAATTATACTTAGGACATCCTTATAAGGAAAGGTGCTTTCCATTTCAATAGACTCAGCAGACTGATAGCATTGTGATTAACACCAGCTGTCTGCAATTACTGTAAGTTCGAATCTCACCAGGCTCAAGGTTGACTCAGTCTTCCATCCTTTCTAAGGTAGGTAAATTGAGGACCCAGTTTGTGGGGAGTAATAAGCTGACTTTGTATAAATATACAAAAGTATGAAGGCTGAGTCTCCGGAGAAGGGCGGCATATAAATCAAATTTTTTTTAAAAAAAACTTCACTTGATTCCTCTCCCTTATGCGAATTCCATCTGCTCCACCTTCTACTCCATATAAGTTAGAAAATGAAAAGATAGTCACGAATGTATATACAGATTTCTCTCTCCATCAAGACCTCCATGATTTCACATGCAGATTGCCAGGGTTCCGACAGATGCTCTAATTAAACCATGAGCCTCAAGCCAAGTTTCAAAAGAAATCCAGTTATTTATTAGGAGCAACATGTGGGCAGGTACCCAAGTGAAGCCAGCCAAACTGATTGTTGGAAGAAATCATTAGGGCAGAGAACCGATTGTTAAATTACTTGAATCCCACCACTGCTCAAAATGCATTGAGTACGAAATTTGATGAGTTTCAAAGCTGTTGAGTACCAAGGTACCACTGTAACGTAATTATATCAAACATTTTTTCAATCGCTTTTTCTCATTTCTGCAGTGAGGCGGGGAATGTAGGTTTATTTTATCTACAGCAAATGCATTATAGCCATTTCAATAGCGCAAAGATTCATGCTCAGTTAGTTGGTCATTTTTCTCTGAATTTCAGATTTTTAATCTGTTTTGGGATGAGAAGGAAGGCTACAGAAACTAGGAACGTAGAGTTAGAGGGCCTTGTGCAGTTTTGGGTCTGTGGGTACATCTGATCTATTGGTCAACATTTTAAGTCCTTTGGAACATCTGAGAAATCTTGGAATGTTTGGAGATGGCTTTCCTTCTCTGGGAAATCAACCCTATCTTACTGATTTGAGGAAAAAAATACTGAAATTATTATTATTAATCTGGGTCTTTCTGTGTGCAAAATATGTACTTTACCATTAAGCTACATATTCGCCTGTGAGCCTCCCTCCCTCCCTCCCTCCCTCTCTCTCTCTCTCTCTCTCTCTCTCTCTCTCTGTGTGTGTGTGTGTGTGTGTGTGTGTGTGTGTGTGTGTGTGTGTGTGTGTGTGTGTATCAGGCCACTATGTTTTTTAAGCTGCTGCCCTTTCAATGTTATATTATTTTTTAAAAAAATGTTTTTTTTTAAATTTAATTTGATTTATATGCCACCCTTCTCCAGAGACTCAAGGCGGCTTACAATACACTAAGCAATAGCCTTCATTCTTTTGTATATTTATACAAAGTCAGCTTATTGCCCCCACAAACTGGGTCCTCAATTTACCTACCTTAGAAAGGATGGAAGACTGAGTCAACCTTGAGCCTTGGCGAGATTCGAACCTGCAGTAATTGCAGACAGCTGGTCTTAATAACAAGGTGCTTTAGACCACTGTACTTCCAAAGCTCTACTTTTTACTTATTGATTAAATTAAATTGATTAAATTAAATTTAAATACCACCCATCTCACTAGCAGGAGACTCTGAGCAGCTTGCCTGATAATATTTCTTTAAAAGGTGATATCTTGGGCATTGAAAGTTAAATTCTTAAAATTAACCAGAAAATGGGCAAAGAGAACCAATGTGTCAGCCTCTATGATGCTTGCCTGCTTTCGGCTGCCATTGTAACCGGAGGGTGGGAGGCATTGCTGGTATTTGGGAGGGGGGGAAATCAGCTGGTGGAGATGTCTCGGAAAAGGGAGGAAAATTCTCACTGTCTTCATAGCAGCTGCAGAGAGAGCTGATAGCTGTCAAGGTCAACTTCTCCAGCATACCAGATAGTTGGGGCCACCTGAAGAAGTACCCACATGACACCTTGGGGAGATGTGGCTTGGACACTCAACTTGGGTGCTTGGGGATGCTTTCAATATGCAATTTTCGTGCCTTTTGCCTCGGACTTCGCTTTTCTTTCACTGCATTCAGTTCATACTCAGTAAAAGTACCTTTCTCTACAAACATGGAGTTGGGGTTTTTCTTTCTTGAGTTTTGAACGGAGGCACACCTGACACAATGCCTAGGTGAGATGCAGGTAGGATCTTCTGCTAACCTCCAGAATGGGAAGCCTCCATTGGGGCCTAAAGTCAGTTGGCAGAGAAAGGCTTTCAGATCCTTTCAGAAGGCCAAGAAGGTTGGGCACTTTGAGGGTTCATTAAATTAAATCCCACCTGTCAATGACTACTTCAGCTTCAGCCGCAATAATACACAAGCACATAATAGCTACAAACAAGGTAAACCACTCCAAACTCGATTGCAGAAAATACAACTTCAGCAACAGAGTGGTCAATGCCTAGCATGCATTACCTGACTCTATTGTTACATCCTCAAACCCCCATAACTTTAACCTTAAACTGTCTACTGTAGACCTCACCCCATTCTTAAGAGGTCTGTAAGGGGCGTGCATAAGCGCACCAGCGTGCCTTCTGTCCCTGTCCTAATGTTCCCATTTATTTGTATCCATTTCCTGTATTCATAATCATGTTTATACTTATATCTGTTATGTTATACATGTTTGACAAATAAATAAATAAAATAAAAAATCATTCTAACTACCATGTTTTCCCCAAAATAAGACCCTGTCTTATATTTTTGAACCCCGAAATAAGCGCTTGGCCTTATTTTCAGAGAGGTCTTATTATTTTGGGGCGCGTGGAGCAAGACGGGACTCTTCTTGCCATCTTACCTGATTTCCAGCTCTGTCTCTCTAACCCTAATCAAAGGAAATGGCAGGGACCGGCTGTGCATGCATTTAAATATTAAATATTTTCGGGGAGCGCTTATTTTCAGAAAAACACGGTATGTAGTAAATTTTATTTAAGATGAGGTAATGTGTATCTTACCAAGGCTCTCTTACTCATGCACTATGAAGATCACTTTGTCTACCCCAGTGTTTCTCAACCCTGGTAGCTTTTAGGTGTGTAACATGCTTCAGATTTGCCATAGTTGAAAAACACTGGTCTACAAATTTTGTAGGTAACAAGAGTGGAATCCAACCTACACCAGTACAGTGGGTCCCAGTGGTCTTCCGGGTGCGCTTCAAGGTTTTGGTTACCACCTTTAGAGCGCTCCATGGCTTAGGACCGGGGTATCTACGAGAACGCCTTCTGCCACCAGTAGCCTCTCACCGACCAGTACGCTCCCATAGAGAGGGGCTCCTCAGGGTGCCATCGGCTAAACAATGTTGACTGGCGGCCCCCAGCGGGAGATCCTTCTCTGTGGGGGCACCCGCCATCTGGAACAAGCTCCCCCCCCAGAGATACGGAGGATCCCGGACCTGCGCGCTTTCCGCCGTGCCAGCAAAACATTTCTTTTCCAGCAGGCCGGCCTGCTCTCTTTTAAACTGTTTTTTAAAACTTTTAAAATTTTTAAATTTTAAATTTGTCTTATGAATTTGAGGTGTTTTAAATTTCATTTTCCGGGCCAATTGATTAATTGTATTTTAATGGTTTTTTTAACATTTCTATTATATGTATTTTATTTGGCTGTTCACCACCCTGAGTCCTTCAGGAGTAGGGCAGTATACAAATAAAAAAATAAAAAAATAAAAATAAAAATGGGAGACTTTTCATCTAGCTGTATACTATGGCAATGTTTAGGACCACAATCTATAACAACATCAGCATCAACACTGATCTTCATACAGGCAAACCACACAAGTGATGTTTGTGCAATTGAGATTTATTTGTTTTTATTTCACAAAGTTTTTCCCACACCAAGGACAGGAAACTATTCTGCTACAGAAATCAAGCCATATATTATATCTACTGCCACCACCACCACCAAGCGCTGAATAGACTGGATCATTGGATGTTCTTGAGCACAACAATCTTGTTCATGTTGTAGATATGAAGAATGCTGTTGGACTTTTCCAGCATATTCAGATATTTCCATCTATTCCGTTATTCCAGCTTTGGACTCTCTTTTGTTTCAGGTTGAAATGAAGTGAGAGAAGGGGAAACAATTACTAAATGAAATGAAAAGAGTGATTATAGGAGGAGTGATTATAGGAGGAGAGCTGTGTTGTGGTCACCAAGATACACAAAAAATCTGCCAGAACTGTAAATCAAGTTTGGTCTCCATGAAAGATTTCCTGGGGTCCACAGGTATATTGATAGACACAAATGAGAAATTATGGACCATATTTTTCAGAGTATAAGACACATTTTTCTCCCCCCTAAAAGTGGGTGGAAATGTCTGTGCGTCTTATACAGAGAATGTTGCTGAAGCCCCACCCACTCTCTGGCCCCCATCCTTCGGCTATTTTCAGATTCTGCGCGTCACATTTCTGGCCTCCGAACACTCCATTTTAGACCCATTCTAGGCTGTGGGGATCGCCATAGCACATCACCTCCAATCGCCAACTCCATGCATCACATTTTTGGTCTCCGCACATCATGTTTTCGGCCTCCATGTGTCGCATTTTTGGCTGGTTCCAGTGGCAGCAACCCCCGCCATCTGGAACAGGCCAAAAACATGATGTGCAGAGACCAAAAACAGGGCATGCAGAGCAGTGGTGGGTTCCAAGCGGCGTTACCACCAGTTCTCTTCGTGCACACGCTTTACGAACCGGGCCAAACCGGGCCGAACTGGGAGCAACCCACCACTGGTGCGGAGGCCAAACATGTGATGCGCAGAGGTCTAAAATGCAACGCGCAGAGGCGGTGATCCCCGCAGCCTGGAACAGGTCTAAAACAGAGTGTGCAGAGGCAAAAAATGATGCACAAAGGCCAAAAACACAATGCGCGGAGGCAGCGATGGGCTGTGGCGATCCCCGCAGCCTGGAACAGCTGATTGATGGTATTCCAGAAGGCCAATCCAACTGCCAATCAGCTGGTTGTGCTAAATCGGGTTGCGATAACATGCTGAAGCTGACCAGGCTGTTTGGTGTTTGCTGCAAAGACTCTAGCTAGATAAATACCGATGGATGCTGATAGGCAGAGGCAGAATTTTTTTTCTTGTTTTCCTCCACAAAAGCTAATGTGCATCTTATACTCTGGAGCATTTTATACTCCAAAAAATATGGTATGGTGTGTGAGGATGTCATGATATGCATGGCATCACAATCCCCATTTTTCCTCTCCCCATGGACACCCACTTTGGAGGACTGGCATGTCCCAAAAGCTCATGTTGGCTCTTAAAATGATACTTTCTAATGGAGAAGAAAAGGGGGAGAAATTATTGTTTGGAACCTTAGAAGTGATACCGTTCTGTCAACCCCTTAAACATTGCACTTTTTTTTTCCCCTGTAGATAGGACTTACCTATTTTCTCGAGTTCGGGTTTTCCTGGGAGAAAAAAAAAATACACATGTGAGTTCTTTACTATTTTTCCTTTCTTGTAAATAATAAGGACATTGTCTCAGTGTTTGGATGAGAGTCACACAAAGGCCATCTTCACACAACTTGCTTCACCACATCACTAATACTAGTTAGTGCTAATTCCAGCAGCTGCATTTTCACCTCATAGTGTCTTTAACTAGAATAGAATAACAGAGTTGGAAGGAACCTTGGAGGTCTTCTAGTCCAACCCCCTGCTTAGGCAGTAAACTCTACACCACTTCAGGCAAATGGTTATCCAATATCTTCATAAAAACTTCCAGTGTTGGAGCATTCGCAACCTCTGGAGGCAAGTTGTTCCACTGATTAATTATTCTAACTGTCAGGAAATTTCTCCTTAGTTTTAGTTGCTTCTCTCCTTGATTAGTCTTCACCCATTGCTTCTTGTTCTACCCTCAAGTGCTTTGGAGAATAGCTTGACTCCCTCTTCTTTGTGGCAGCCCCTGAGATATTGGAACACCACTCTCATGTCTCCCCTAGTCCTTCTTTTCATGTCCTTCTAGACATACCCAGTTCCTGCAACCATTCTTCATATGTTTTAGCCTCCAGTCCCCTAATCATCTTTGTTGCTCTTCTCTGCACTCTTTCAACATATACTCCTAGTCATTCTTTCACTTTGGTTAGATTCTCTGTAGCTTCATTTGTTGCCCAAAACTGGTTTAACATATGGCTCAATACACTGTGTAAATAGATAATATTCCATTCATTAAGTGTGGAGGCCATGATGTGGGTAGAACAAATGTGTGCCCAAACACACATTTCCTGTGTTTGGCAATTGCTGCTTAACGAATCTGGCTGGTCAACCTTATTTTTAAAGTCTATTCAGGTTTCTGACAAGATTGTTGGGATGGCTTACATAATACGAGCACACTAGAGAACAGATGGGCAACTGGTGGCATTCCAGATATGGAACTCTCATCAACCTCTAAGAATATGGTCAGTAATCAGGAGAGTGAGTGATCTAAGGCACTTTGGAAAGTTTTTTATTATTATTACAATAAGGGACATATTTTGGGAACAAAAGAAATCCCAGGTTGGAGAACAATTTTAGATTGGATTGGATTGGATTGGATTGGATTGGATTCGATTCGATTCGATTCGATTAGAATTCTTTATTGGCCAAGTGTGATTGGACACACAAGGAATTTGTCTTTGGTGCATATGCTCTCAGTGTACATAAAAAGATACATTCGTCAAGAATCATAAGGTACAGCACTTAATGATAGTCATGGGATACAAATAAACAATCAAATCATACTAGGAAACAATCAATATTAATCGTAAGGATACAAGTAACAAAGTTACAGTCATGCAGTCATAAATGGGAGGAGATGGGTGATAGGAAATATGAGAAGACTAATAGTAATAGTAATAGTAATAGTAATAGTAATAGTAATGTAGCTTTAGTGAATAGTTTGACAGTGTTGAGGGAATTATTTGTTTAGTAGACTGATGGCTTTTGGGAAAAAAACTGTTCTTGTGTCTAGTTGTTCTGGTGTATAGTGCTCTATAGCATCATTTTGAGGGTAGGAGTTGAAACAATTTATGTCCAGGATGTGAGGGGGCCTGTAAGTATTTTTACAGCCCTCTTTTTGATACTCATTATTTTTTGGTACCATTACACCTCTTGGAATTAATAATGAGTATCGAGGTACCACTATACTCCATGCTTCCAGCAGCACTTGACACCTCTGAGAGAGTAGGCTGCCTAGAAAAGGCCAACACTTGTGCTGCTGTTGGCCTGCCCCTTTAAGCCCTCTCTCCAGCCAGCACAGCAGCCCTGGCTATAAAAGCTATATGGAGAGACAGCTAAAGGTGGAGCTAAAAAAGAGCACTAAAAAAGGAACATTTTGAAGGCTTCTGAGTCTGCAAAGGTAAGTAGAACAGCGAGGGGGGGGGAATCCGCTCTGCCACGTGATTCAGATTAGCTAGAAAGCAGGAAATCCGATGATTCCAGGTAATATAAATTGCACATCACAGCTGATCATCGCCCAGCTTATCATCGGAAATACCGGTTCACCCAAACCGGTAGCATTTTTTTACTACCAGTTTGCCCTAACTGGTCCAAACCGGTAGCATTTGATGCCTGATGCCCTGATGCCATCACTACCATCTTTGGCATTATATATATAAATTCATTCATGATCCAGGCCAAATGAAGATCTGTGTTCTTTGGCACAAAGCAAAGTGAAAGAAGCCAAAAACATGCACATCTATTAAACTGTTATTGGAAAGGCAGGTAAAAACAGGGCAAAACGTTGGGCCTGCCTGCTACTGTTTATGCTCAGAGATGTTTTTTGGTGAAGGAGGAAGAAGGATGAAAGGGATACTTCTTCAGGTGGAAGAAGAATATGAAGAAAGAAATGGCAGAAAATAAATAAAAGCTACTTACTGGAAGTCCAGCTCCACCACCTCCATTCATTCCCTAAAAGGAAACAAAAAGGAAAGGTTCTACTCTTTTATTACAACAACCATGACTTTTCCAACCATGCCATCCAGTGGTGAAACGGTCTGAAGTCTGCTACCATTTCTGTGAGTATATCTGAGGGGTACCCGTGCAGCACTAAAAAAGGAACATTTTGAAGCCTTCCGAGTCGGCAAAGGTAAGTAGAACAGCAGGGGGGGGGGAATCCGCTGTGCCACGCAATTTAGATTAGCTAGAAAACAGAAAATCCAACGATTCCAGGTAATATAAATTGTGTCTCACAGTTTATTGTGCCCAGCTGAGCATCGGAAATACAGGTTCCCCTGAACCGGTTCGAACCATCACTACCATCTTTAGCATTAGATAGATAGATAGATAGATATAGAGATAGATAGAGATAGATAGATAGATAGATAGATAGATAGATAGATAGATACAGTGTTTTCCCAAAAAATAAGACCCTGTCTTATATTTTTTTGAACCCTGAAATAAGCGCTTGGCCTTATTGCCATGCACTCAAAAACCCAATTGGGCTTATTATCAGTGGCTGTCTTATTTTGAGGGATGAAAGGGTTACGTTTTCAAGTGGAAGAAGAATATGAAGAAAGGAATGGCAGAAAATAAATAAGTATTTTTACAGCCCTCTTTTTGATACTCATTATTTTTTGGTACTCATTACACCTCTTGGAATTAATAATGAGTATCGAGGTACCACTATACTCCATGCTTCCAGCAGCACTTGACACCTCTGAGAGAGTAGGCTGCCTAGAAAAGGCCAACACTTGTGCTGCTGTTGGCCTGCCCTTTAAGCCCTCTCTCCAGCCAGCACAGCAGCCCTGGCTATAAAAGCTATATGGAGAGACAGCTAAAGGTGGAGCTATTGTTCTGGGTGAGAAGGAAGGAGGTATGAGTTGGGTATGGAAACAAAGCAGTCTGAAGCAGATGGAAAGAAGTATTGTTCTCCAGTAGTAGGACTAGCAAGGAGTAGTAGTTGGAGGAGCAATAGTAGCAGTGGGGAAGAGTGGAGAGTGTGGCTGAACAGTAATATTAATTAGTGTGAATGTGGATAGGGACGCGTATTGTTGTGTTTTGGAGCCTACTGACTTAGGTACACTTAAAAGAACCTGTGACAACCTCCCTCCCTCAAAGTCACCGTCTGAAAAAAAAAAATCCAAATTCTTTATCGTAGACTGAGAGGTTAGATCCGTGATGGTGAACCTATGGCAGACATGCCACAGGTGGCACGCAGAGTCCTCTCTGTGGACCTGTGAGCTGTCGCCCGGCTCAGCCTCACCACGCATGTGCGTGGAGCGCATGTGGGATGTGAGGGGTCTGTAAATATTTTCACTTCAAATTGGCAGCTAGATCTATTTTTAGAAGGTCAATTATTGGAAATGAAGGTAAAAATGGCCCAGATGCTTTGGCCCTGATTTTCTGGTTATTCTCTGGCCATTATAACATCTTTTGGAAAAAGAAAAAAGAAGGATAAAAGAGGTACCTGTTGAGGCAGGAAAGAATATGAAGAAAGGAATGGCGGAAAATAAATAAAAGCTACTTACTGGAAATCCACCTCCACCACCTGCGTTCATTCCCTAAAAGGAAACAAAAAGGAAAGGTTCTACTCTTTTATTACAACAACCATGACTTTTCCAACCTTGCCATCCAGCAGTGAAAACCTCTGAAGTCTGCTACCATTTCTGTGAGTATATCTGAGAGGTGCCCATAGAGCACTAAAAAAGGAACATTTTGAAGGCTTCTGAGTCTGCAAAGGTAAGTAGAACAGCGAGGGGGGGGGAATCCGCTCTGCCACGTGATTCAGATTAGCTAGAAAGCAGGAAATCCGATGATTCCAGGTAATATAAATTGCACATCACAGCTGATCATCGCCCAGCTGATCATCGGAAATACCGGTTCACCCAAACCGGTAGCATTTTTTTACTACCAGTTTGCCCTAACTGGTCCAAACCGGTAGCTTTTGATGCCTGATGCCCTGATGCCATCACTACCATCTTTGGCATTATATATATAAATTCATTCATGATCCAGGCCAAATGAAGATCTGTGTTCTTTGGCACAAAGCAAAGTGAAAGAAGCCAAAAACATGCACATCTATTAAACTGTTATTGGAAAGGCAGGTAAAAACAGGGCAAAACGTTGGGCCTGCCTGCTACTGTTTATGCTCAGAGATGTTTTTTGGTGAAGGAGGAAGAAGGATGAAAGGGATACTTCTTCAGGTGGAAGAAGAATATGAAGAAAGAAATGGCAGAAAATAAATAAAAGCTACTTACTGGAAGTCCAGCTCCACCACCTCCATTCATTCCCTAAAAGGAAACAAAAAGGAAAGGTTCTACTCTTTTATTACAACAACCATGACTTTTCCAACCATGCCATCCAGCGGTGAAACGGTCTGAAGTCTGCTACCATTTCTGTGAGTATATCTGAGGGGTACCCGTGCAGCACTAAAAAAGGAACATTTTGAAGCCTTCCAAGTCGGCAAAGGTAAGTAGAACAGGGGGGGGGGGAATCCGCTGTGCCACGCAATTTAGATTAGCTAGAAAACAGAAAATCCAACGATTCCAGGTAATATAAATTGTGTCTCACAGCTTATTGTGCCCAGCTGAGCATCAGAAATACAGGTTCCCCTGAACCGGTTCGAACCATCACTACCATCTTTAGCATTAGATAGAGATAGATAGATAGATAGATAGATAGATAGATAGATAGATAGATAGATAGATAGATAGATAGATAGATACAGTGTTTTCCCAAAAATAAGTCCCTGTCTTATATTTTTTTGAACCCTGAAATAAGCGCTTGGCCTTATTGCCATGCACTCAAAAACCCAATTGGGCTTATTATCAGTGGCTGTCTTATTTTGAGGGATGAAAGGGTTACGTTTTCAAGTGGAAGAAGAATATGAAGAAAGGAATGGCAGAAAATAAATAAGTATTTTTACAGCCCTCTTTTTGATACTCATTATTTTTTGGTACTCATTACACCTCTTGGAATTAATAATGAGTATCGAGGTACCACTATACTCCATGCTTCCAGCAGCACTTGACACCTCTGAGAGAGTAGGCTGCCTAGAAAAGGCCAACACTTGTGCTGCTGTTGGCCTGCCCCTTTAAGCCCTCTCTCCAGCCAGCACAGCAGCCCTGGCTATAAAAGCTATATGGAGAGACAGCTAAAGGTGGAGCTATTGTTCTGGGTGAGAAGGAAGGAGGTATGAGTTGGGTATGGAAACAAAGCAGTCTGAAGCAGATGGAAAGAAGTATTGTTCTCCAGTAGTAGGACTTGCAAGGAGTAGTAGTTGGAGGAGCAATAGTAGCAGTGGGGAAGAGTGGAGAGTATGGCTGAACAATAATATTAATTAGTGTGAATGTGGGTAGGGACGCGTATTGTTGTGTTTTGGAGCCTACTGACTTAGGTACACTTAAAAGAACCTGTGACAACCTCCCTCCCTCAAAGTCACCGTCTGAAAAAAAAAAATCCAAATTCTTTATCGTAGACTGAGAGGTTAGATCCGTGATGGTGAACCTATGGCAGACATGCCACAGGTGGCACGCAGAGTCCTCTCTGTGGGCCTGTGAGCTGTCGCCCGGCTCAGCCTCACCACGCATGTGCGTGGAGCGCATGTGGGATGTGAGGGGTCTGTAAATATTTTCACTTCAAATTGGCAGCTAGATCTATTTTTAGAAGGTCAATTATTGGAAATGAAGGTAAAAATGGCCCAGATGCTTTGGCCCTGATTTTCTGGTTATTCTCTGGCCATTATAACATCTTTTGGAAGAAGAAAAAGAAGGCTAAAAGGGGTACCTGTTGAGGCAGGAAAGAATATGAAGAAAGGAATGGTGGAAAATAAATAAAAGCTACTTACTGGAAATCCACCTCCACCACCTGCGTTCATTCCCTAAAAGGAAACAAAAAGGAAAGGTTCTACTCTTTTATTACAACACCATGACTTTTCCACCATGCCTCCAGCCGAACTGAAAACCTCTGAAGTCTGCTACCATTTCTGTGAGTATATCTGAGAGGTGCCCATAGAGCACTACGAAAAGAACATTTTGAACCCTCTGAGTCTACAAAGGTAAGTAGAGTTAGATAGATGATAGATAGATATATTATAGATAGATAGATAGATACCGTGTTTCCGAAAATAAGACCCTGTCTTATATTTTTTGAACCCTGAAATAAGCGTTTTGCCTTATTGCCATGCACTCAAAAACCCGATTGGGCTTATTATCAGGGGATGTCTTTTTTTGAGGGATGAAAGGGTTACGTTTTCAAGTGTAAGAAGAATATGAAGAAAGAAATGGCAGAAAATAAATAAAAGCTACTTACTGGAAATCCACCTCCAGCACCTGCGTTCATTCCCTAAAAGGAAACAAAAAGGAAAGGTTCTACTCTTTTATTACAACAACCATGACTTTTCCAACCTTGCCATCCAGCAGTGAAAACCTCTGAAGTCTGCTACCATTTCTGTGAGTATATCTGAGGGGTACCTGTGCAGCACTAAAAAGGAACATTTTGAAGCCTTCTGAGTCGGCAAAGGTAAGTAGAACAGCGAGGGGGGGGAATCCGCTCTGCCACGCGATTAGATTAGCTAGAAAGCAGAAAATCCAGCGATTCCAGGTAATATAAATTGCGTCTCACAGCTTATTGTGCCCAGCTGAGCATCGGAAATACAGGTTCCCTGAACCGGTTCAAACCATCACTACCATCTTTGGCATTAGATAGATAGATATAGATATAGATATAGATATAGATATAGATATAGATATAGATATAGATATAGATATAGATTAGATATAGATATAGATATAGATAGATATAGATATAGATAACCATGTTTTCCCGAAAATAAGATCCTGTCTTATATTTTTTTTGAACCCTGAAATAAGCATTTGGCCTTATTGCCATACGCTCAAAAACCCGATTGGGTTTATTATCAGGGATGTCTTATTTCGGGGGATGAAAAGGATATTCTTCAGGTGGAAGAAGAATATGAAGAAAGGAATGGCCAGAAAATAAATAAAAGCTACTTACTGGAAATCCACCTCCAGCACCTGCGTTCATTCCCTAAAGGAAACAAAAAGGAAAGGTTCTACTCTTTTATTACAACAACCATGACTTTTACAACCATGCCATCCAGCGGTGAAAACGGTCTGAAGTCTGCTACCATTTCTGTGAGTATATCTGAGGGGTACCCGTGCAGCACTAAAAAGGAACATTTTGAAGCCTTCCGAGTCGGCAAAGGTAAGTAGAACAGCGGGGGGGGGATCCGCTGTGCCATGGGCAGTTTAGATTAGCTAGAAAGCAGAAAATCCAGCAATCCAGGTAATATAAATTGCGTCTCACAGCTTATTGTGCCCAGCTGAGCATCGGAAATACAGGTTCCCCTGAACGGTTCGAACCATCACTACCATCTTTGGCATTAGATAGATAGATATGATATAGATATGATATAGATATAGATATGATATAGATAAGATATAGATATAGATATAGATATAGAATAGATTAGATATAGATATAGATATGATATAGATATAGATATAGATATAGATATAGATAACCATGTTTTCCCGAAAATAAGATCCTGTCTTATATTTTTCTTTGAACCTGAAATAAGCATTTGGCCTTATTGCCATGGACGTCAAAAACCGTTGGTTTTATTATCGGGGATGTTTATTTTGGGGGATGAAAAAGGATACTTCTTCAGGTGGAAGAAGCATATGAAGAAAGGAATGCCAGAAAATAAATAAAAGCTACTTACTGGAAATCCACCTCCACCACCTGCGTTCATTCCCTAAAAGGAAACAAAAAGGAAAGGTTCTACTCTTTTATTACAACAACCATGACTTTCCCAACCTTGCCATCCAGCAGTGAAAACCTCTGAAGTCTGCTACCATTTCTGTGAGTCTGCCTGAGGCGTGCCCTTGCAGCACTACGAAAGAACATTTTGAACCTCGAGTCTTCAAGGTAAGTAGAGATAGATAGATAGATAGATAGATAGATAGATAGATAGATAGATAGATAGATAGATAGATACCGTGTTTTCCCAAAAATAAGACCCTGTCTTATATTTTTTTTGAACCCTGAAATAAGCGCTTGGCCTTATTGCCATGCACTCAAAAACCCAATTGGGCTTATTATCAGGGGCTGTCTTATTTTGAGGGATGAAAGGGTTACGTTTTCAAGTGGAAGAAGAATATGAAGAAAGGAATGGCAGAAAATAAATAAAAGCTACTTACTGGAAATCCACCTCCACCACCTCCGTTCATTCCCTAAAAGGAAACGAAAAGGAAAGGTTCTACTCTTTTATTACAACAACCATGACTTTTCCAACCATGCCATCCAGCGGTGTGAAACGGTCTGAAGTCTGCTACCATTTCTGTGAGTTATATCTGAGGGGTACCCGTGCAGCACTAAAAAGGAACATTTTGAAGGCTTCCGAGTCTGCAAAGGTAAGTAGAACAGCGAGGGGGGGGAATCCGCTCTGCCACATGATTTAGATTAGCTAGAAAGCAGGAAATCCAACGATTTCAGGTAATATAAATTGTGTCTCACAGCTGATTGTTGCCCAGCTGAGCATCGGAAATATCGGTTCACCTGAACCGGTCCGAACCATCACTACCATCTTTGGCATTAGAGAAAGAGAGAGAGAGGGAGGGAGAGGGAGAGTTAGAGGGAGAGGGAGAGGGAGGAAGAGAGAGAGAGAGAGAGAGAGAGAGACAGACAGACATATAGATATAGATATAGATATAGATATAGATATAGATATAGATATAGATATAGAGTTATAGTTATAGATATAGATATAGATATAGATATAGATATAGATATAGATATAGATATAGATATAGATATAGATATAGATATAGATACCATGTTTTCCCAAAAATAAGATCCTGTCTTATATTTTTTTGAACTTTGAAATAAGCATTTGGCCTTATTGCCATGCGCTCAAAAACCCGATTGGGTTTATTATCAGGGGATGTTTTATTTTGGGGGAAGAAAAGGATACTTCTTCAGGTGGAAGAAGAATATGAAGAAAGGAATGGCAGAAAATAAATAAAAGCTACTTACTAGAAATCCACCTCCACCTCCAGCTGAGCATCGGAAATACCGGTTTGGCAAAACCCGTAGCATTTTTTACTACCAGTTTGCCTGAACTGGTCCAAACCGGTAGCATTTGATGCCTGATGCCCTGATGCCATCACTACCATTTTTGGCATTATATATATAAATTCATTCATGATCCAGGCCAAAAGAAGACCTTTGTTCTTTGGCACAAAGCAAAGTGAAAGAAGCCAAAAAGATGCACATTTATTAAATTTTATTGGCCTTCCGAGTCTGCAAGTAGAAGAGTGAGGTGGGGGGAATCCGCTATGCTACGCGATTTAGATTAGCTAGAAAGCAGGAACTCCAATAATTCCAACTAATGTAAATTGCCTGTCACAGCTAATTGTTGCCCAGCTGAGCATCGGAAATATCGGTTCAGCATCACTGCCAGTATGTGTGTGTGTGTGTGTCTGTTTGTGTCTGTGTGTGCATGTATGTATATACATACATACATACATACATACATACATACATACATACATAAATACATATATACCGTGTTTCCCCGAAAATAAGACTTTTATATTTTTTTTCAACCCCAAAATAGGTGCTTGGTCTTCTTTTCAGAGAGGTCTTATTATTTTGGGGCGAGTGGAGCAAGATGGGGTTCCTCTTGCTGTCTTACCTTACTTCCAGCTCTGTCTCCTAACCATAACCAAAGGAAATGGCGGGGACCAGCTGTGCATGCGTTTAAATATTTTCAGGGAGGGTTTATTTTAAGGGTGTGGATTATTTTAGTGCATGCGTTCAAAAGCCCGATTGGGCTTATTTTCAGGGGATATCTTATTTTTTGGGAAATCAGAAATGCTTTTTGGTAAAGGAGGAAGAAGGATGAAAGGGATACTTTTTCAGGTAGAAGGAGAATTATGAAGATTTATGAAGAAAGGAATGGCAGAAAATAAATAAAAGCTACTTACCCTTCTTCTACTATTACCACCGTCCGATTTCTAAAAGAGAAACAAAAAGGAACTATTCTATTCTGATATGATTACAACCATAACATCTCCAGCCATGCCATCACGTTTGGTATCTTATTTATAAATTTAATCATTATTAAATTTCTTTAAATCCACACAGAATGAGAAACACCAAAAGGATATTGATGTATTAAGCCAGGGGTGTCAAATTCAAGGCCTGTGGGCCGGATGCGGCCCATGGGGTGCTTCGATCTGGGCCCCAGGGGCAAAAGGCATGATATGAAAAATGAAGTGAAAATTACAGACCAATCTCATTATGTTGTGTCACCTGCAAAGTCATGGAATCAATCATAAACCAATCCATTACCTAATTTCTAATTTCTAACAAGCAGTTTGGTTTCAGGAAAAAATTGTCCTGTAATCTACAATTCCTACACTGCAGAAACATTTGGACTACACAACTCAACCAGAGTAAAGCAATAGACACAATTTACATAGACTTCTGCAAAGCCTTTGATTCAGTTGTGCACAACAAACTACAGTTAAAACTACGCTCTTATGGCATTTCCAGATCACTGCACAAATAGCTGCATTTCTGTCAAACTGGCAACAAGTAGTCAAAATAAGGAGTGTCCTATCAAACCCTGCACCAGTTAACAGCGGTGTCCCCCAGGGCAGCATTCCAGGACCCACTCTCTTTCTACTTTACATTAACTTTGTGATCATATTATAAGCAACTGTGTCCTCTTTGCTGATGATGTAAACATATTTAACACCTCCGACAATACTGCTGCCCTACAAAGCAACCTTGACTATGTGTCAGAATGGTCAAACAATTGGCAACTTCAAATCTCAACCAACAAATGCTCTGTCTTACACATTGGCAACAAAAACCAGAACACCAAATACAAGCTGGGCGGATACGACCTTGTAGACGACTCTCACTCTGTCAAGGACCTGGGAGTACTCATTTCAAAAGATCTAAGCCCCAGAGTTCAGCATTGCCAAAAATGTGACAACTAAAACTACGTCGCCTAGGGTCTGACCTAAGCTTAGTACACAAAATTGTCTGCTACAACATCCTACCTGTCAATGACTACTTCAGCTTCAACCGCAATAATACACAGGCAAATAATAGATACAAACTCAAAGTAAAACACTCCAAACTTGCTTGCAGAAAATATGACTTCAGCAACAGAGTGGTCAATGCCTGGAATGCACTACCTGATTCTGTTGTTCCATCCTCAAAGCCCCAAAACTTTAACCTTAAACTGTCTAATATGGGTCTCAACCCATTCCTAAGTGGTCTGTAAGGGGGAGTACATAAGAGGACCAGTGTGCCTACAGTTCCTGTCCTACAGTTCACATTTATTGGTACTCATTAATTATGTTTATACTTATACCTGTTTATACTTAGATGTTTATATGTTATGTTTATACTTATACTTGTTTCCTCATACATGCTTGACAAACTAAAAAAAAAAGTAGTTCAAAAGACAGTGGCAGAAGCAGATTTACAAACTTCTAATTGTATCCATGTGTCATCACTGCTATGCAACCTATATTGACATATGACTATCTATCATATGATAGTCCCAAAATCTACTGGAGATATGTGTCAGCATTCTGATGCTGCCATAAAAAGGAGGAGACGAGGCTTGACTTTTCACCTACTTATTTTCTCTGTAGATAATATCCCCTAGGAGATGGGATGAGAGGGGGGAACATTCCTGTGGGGTGAGGTCAGAAGCTGGGGATACTGACTTGGAAGATGGCCAATGAGAAGATGAGAATTGGGGAACGGAAAGGGAAGGGTTTGGGGGTCAGAGGGTTAGTATCGGCTACGACGAAGTCGGGGCCAGATCTGTTGTACTCAATAAATGGATTATTTCAGCAAAGATTAATTGTTTGGGAGTGCAATTTATTTGAGATGACATCGAAACCTGACAATATGATTGCATGGGGTAAGATGCATGAAAATGCGGTTCAACCCTGTGCTCCAGTGAGACAAGGGGCATCAGCACAGCCTGAGGATACAAAACTTATGATAAGCTTGCTATGGTTTCATCTCATAAATCATGAAATTCTTTCTTGATCATACAACTCATCATACCTCAGCAGAAATCATGAATGAAATTATAGAATTATAGGGCTTAAAGAGAATTGGAGACGTGGTTAGAGTGCAGTACTACAGGCTACTTCTGCTGACTGCTGGCTGTCTGCAATTTGGCAGTTTGATTCTCAACAGGCTCAAGATTGACTCACCCTTCCATCCTTCCAAGGTGGGTAAAATGAGGACCCAGATTGTTGGGGCAATAGGCTGACTCTGTAAAACCACTTAGAGAGGGCGGTAAAGCATTTTAAAGTGGTATATAACTCTAAGTGCAATTGCTATTACTATTTTCCAAGGTTGCTTTCAGAAGTTTTGGATACTTCATCACTTGAAGTTTTAAGAAGAGACTGGACAGCCACTTGTCTGAAATCGTATAGGATTGGGGATGGGGTTAGAATTTATCTCTGTGTTGTGGCTCCATTGCCTGAGCCTGGGCTATCGACAGATGCAGACTCTGAGAGTGAGGGGGAGGAGTTGGCAAGGCCTCCTTCTCCAGGACCCTCCTCTCTGGCAATGCCTCCAGAGGACGCCGAAGGCCAAACAATAGGCTCAGAGCCAAGCACGTCCACACAGCCACAGGTGGACAGTGACAAGGAAGATAAGTGCTGGCTGAACCCTCAACAGAGGCGCAGGGAGGAGCATGCACAGCAGAGGGGAAGGCATGCCAGAGATTAGCTGAGTCACTGGACCACACCCCACAGGGTATAAATGTGGGTGTGGTGGCCGGTTCAGTTTGTGACGAGAAAAACTGGAAATAATCCATGATCTCTGCGTTACTGGACTTTGCCTGCTTTATCGGACTGCATTTGGATTAATCTTTGTTTTGTGTGAGTAAAGTCTGAATTGGCAGCTAGCCACTGGGTTGCTGCCAGCTTTATCATCAAAGTGTTTTGTCGTGTGGTTTATTAACTCCGAGCCATCTGTGGGGGTGTGTGCATGGTATGGGGACAGAACACTCTGCTTGAACCCACATGATGGCTTTCACCAACCAGGCGTGTCAATGATCTAATTGAAAGGTGACTGCACTGATAGCATTGAGGTCCCCGTCCATTTCATTGGCTTCAACAGAATTGAACTATTCCCAGATAACTGGTCGAAACCTTCCCCCAGATATCTCACATGGACCTTCACCATGCTTGGGTTCCAATTGGGAACAGATACAAGCCATTTTATTCATCAGGTGAGCTTATGCTCTGGGGACTTTAGAGATGCTTTTGGTGTAGGTGCAAGAAAGAATAAATGTGTCCTTGTTCAGATGGAAGAATATTCAGAATAGCACAAAATAAAACAAAAGCTACTTACCATCCTTCCACCGCTACCACCACCACCACCCTAAAAGGGAAACAAAAGGAAACTATTGTCATAGCACTCATGAATTCTGGACCCATGGATAAGCTGACTCTGAATTTTTTAAACAAAATTCCATGAAAATATGAAAAGATATTATTACAACATTTTCTTGTGCGAAGTTAAAAGAATCATTAAACTTTACGTACCACTAATACCCCACAAAACCAGAAAAAATAAACTACCAATAACAATAAGGAAATTACAATCCAGAAAAAAATCTCTTTGGTGAAAAAACAAAACAAACTACATAGCTAACTTCAAAAACCACTACAAAAACTTATGCCAACAAATAAAGACTGAATGCAATTATCACATCAAGCAAGAAGAAAGCCTTCTACTCACAAAATCCACCCATGCCTTCTATAATTTTGTAAACAACAAACTTAAAGACTCGAGATCCATCCCACCGCTAAAAGGACCAAACAATGAAGATTGTATTGATGAAATTGTTAAAGCCAATCACTTTAACACGTTCTTCAGCTCATTCTTTGTAAACAGCAACAACACATACCCAATATTTCCCAGTCATACTACAGACAATTACAACAATTACGGTGATCTTATACATATTGATTTTACAGAAGACAATGTTGAAAAGGCACTACGCAATCTAAAACCATCTCTATCTATTGTACCTGATGGACCAAGTGCATACTTCTTAAAAAAACTTTCCACTGCAATTGCAGAACCTCTAAGCATAATTTTTGAAAAATCTTTCAATACCAGCACCTTGCCCTACCAATGGTCACTAGCCAGGGTCATCCCTATCTTCAAAAAGGGAGACCCTAGCCTAGTTGAAAATTACAGACCAATCTCTTTATGTTGCATCACCTGCAAAGTCATGGAATCAATCATTAACCAATCTATTACCCTCCACCTAGAGACAAACAACCTACTTTCTAACAAATAATTTGGTTTCAGAAAAAAATTATCCTGTAATCTACAACTACTACATTGCAAAAATATACGGACTACACATTTCGATCAGGGCAAAGCAATAGATGCAGTTTACATAGACTTTTGTAAAGCTTTTGATTCAGTGGTACACGACAAATTACTTCTAAAACTAAAATCCTGTGGCATTTCTGGACTCCTACATAAATGGATAGCTGCCTTCCTGTCAAACGGACAACAAGTGGTCAAAATAGGAACCACTCTATCAAATCCTGTACATGTTAATAGCAGTGTTCCCCAAGGCAGTGTTTTAGGTCCAACACGCTTCATACTTTGTGACCTTTGTGATCATATTAAAAGCAACTGTGTTTTCTTCGCTGATGATGTTAAATTATTTAACACCACCGACAATGCAACTACCCTTCAAAAAGACCTTGACTATGTGTCAGATTGGTCTAACAAGTGGCAACTTCAAATCTCAAACAACAGATGCTTTGTCTTGCCCATTGGCAAAAAAAATCAAAACATTAAATACAAATTAGATGGACATGACCTTGTAGATGACCCTTACTCTGTCAAGGTCCTTGGAGAACTCATTTCTAAAGATCTAAGTGCCCAAGGCCACTGTAACAACATTGCCAAAAAGACATTAAGAATTGTTAACCTAATCTTGCATAGCTTCTTCTCTGGTAATGTTGTACTACTAACTAGAGCATACAAAACATTTGCTAGACCAATTCTTGAATACAGTTCATCTGTCTGGAACCCACACTGCATATCGGATATAAATACAATCAAGAGAGTCCCGAGATATTTTACAAGAAGAGTCCTCCATTCCTCTAACCGCAATAAAATACCTTATGCCACCAGACTCCAAATTTTGGGCTTAGCCAACTCAGAACTACGCCAACTTCAGTCTAAGCTAAGCATAGTACATAAAATTATCTACCACAATGTCCTTCCTGTCAATGACTACTTCAGCTTCAACCACAACAATACACAAGCAAATAATAGATACAAACTCAAGGTAAACCATTCCAAACTCAACTGCAGAAAATATGACTTCAGTAACAGAGTGGTCAATGCCTGGAATGCACTACCTGACTCTGTAGTTTCTTCCCCAAACTCCCCAAACTTTAACCTTAAACTGTCTACTGTTGACCTCACCCCATTCCTAAGAGGTCTGTAAGGGGCATGCATAAGTACATATTCCTTTTTACTTACTCTTTTCATGTATTCAAATTATGTTTATACTTTTACCTTTTATCTTATATATGTTTGACAAATAAACTTATGAATATGAATATCTAAACAAGGAAGCTCAGAGAACATTAAGGACCCATCATGTCAACCCTGAGCTACAAATATTCTCCTTTATTGGATATCTTTGTAATTCTGTTGTGCATCTATAAGAAGATCCTCTTGTGAATTAGACAAGAATAACTCTCAGCTTCTCTCTCTTTCCAGGCTTTAAACATGTCTTTCCAAGCTCCATTTCAACCTAATTCTCCAAGGTCATGTCTAGCGCTCTCCACAAATTCAACCCTTCAACATTCATTTCAGTACCCAACCCCTATTAGAATTCCTCCTGGAATATTGATAGATTCTTCAGAGGATTGAGCCTCTAGAGGTGGTTTTCATGCAAAAATGATGTTACACCTAATTTCATAATCATCTAATTTATGAACAATTCAGACTGCAACAAAGACACATCATTGTGCACAAGTCATCATTTGTCATATTCCCCGTGTTCCCAAGGGCTTGAGTGACCACAGCAATTCCTGATTAGGGATAAAAGCAACTGGCCATAACACAAAGTTGTACAAAGGCTCTCCTAGCCCATGACTGCCACCTGCTCTTCAATCAGGAGTCACAAGTGCAGGAGAACCCCAAGTCATGGCTTGGGTCTCTCTGGGGTAGTACAATCCCATCCAAAATTAAGGTTGTTGAAGTCCCAGATATTGCAATTCCATCCATACAAAGCCATTTGTCTGGGCAGGGTTCAATTGAAACCATCCAGCCCCTCAAAGCCTCCAGACACTGTGGGAGGGCAGCAGCACCATCACTTGGATCACCAGAGGTGGAGATATAAAGTTGAGCATAACCACATACTGATGATACCTCAACCCATGGTGGTGAATGGTCTCACCCAACAGCTTCATTACTTGTTCAAAAGAAGTAGAAAGAGTACTGAGCCCTGCGGCATGCCATAAAACAGTGGTTGTGGGCTGGGTCACTAACTCCCTATCAACACCGATTAGAGCCAAACTTGGAGAAAGGAGCCAAACCAGTGCAATAGTGCTCAGCCCTGAACCCTGTAGCTGGCCCAAAATGATACTGTGGTTGATGGTATTGAAGGCTGATGAGAGGTTAAGGAGAAAAAGGATAGTTGCATTATTCTGAGTGTCACCAACCTGGGGCTCCAGAGCCACATGCGGCTCTTTGGGCCCTCTGCTGTGGCTCCCTGTCAGGTGATCCTACCACTGGCTGGCCCCGCCCCTTGCTCTCCCCTCCCAGTCCCTCCTTGCCTGGCCTGAAAAGATAAGGACGATGACGGGAAATGGAGAAGTGGCCGGGGCAGAGACAGAGAGATACAGAAAGAGTGGGAGAGAGAGAGGCAGAGAGAGGGGGGAGAGAGGGAGAGGGGGGAGGGAGGGAGAGAGAGATGTCAAAAGGGTTTTGAGGTTCCCGGTGCTTTTCAACAACCGGTTCTCTGCCCTGATGACCAGTTGGGTAGGCGTGGCTAGGGGGTCATGTGACTGATGGAAATGAGTGACGTTGCGTTGGCCTCTCCCACCCAGGTTTTGTGGCTTCCGGTATTTTCTTTTCTGTGGAAAATGGGTCCAAATGGCTCTTTAATGGCCTCCTTAAAAGCCCCCAGAACTGTCCCCTCCTGCAGTGAAGAATTCACCTCTGCTTGAACCCACCTAAAAGTCATCATCCTGGTGGCTTTCACCAACCAGGAGGGTCAATGATCTAATCGACAGATGACTGCGCTGAGAGCCTTGAGTACCCTGTTCATTTCATTGGGTCTAACACAGGGGTGAAATGCTACCTGTTCGCAGTGGTTCGGCGAACCTGTAGCGGCGGTGGTGGGTGGTTCAGAGAACTGGTAGCGGCATCAGCATGAGGCTTCGCACACCTGCCCAGACATTGTTACTTCCTGGTTTTCACTAGGAAGTAACCTGTTTTTTACCCTCTGCACATGCGCAGAAGGGTTTGCACATGTGCAGAGGATCCAAGCGTGCACGGAGGGACCGGTAGGAAAGGTAAGTAGATTTTACCCCTGGTCTAACAGGATTGAACTGGTAACTGATCAAGATCTTCCCCTGGACATCTCACATGGACATTCACCATGCTTGGGTTCCAACTGGGAGCAAATGTAATCAATTTTGTTCATCAGGTGAGCTTATGCTCTGGGGACGTTAGAGATGCTTTTGGTGTAGGTGGAAAGGAGATAAACGGGGTGCTTGTTCAGATGGGAGAATATTCAGAATAGCACAAAATAAACCAAAAGCTACTTACCAACAGATTACTCTAAAAGGGAAACAAAAGGAAACTAATGTCATAACACTCTTGACTTCTCCAACCACATCATCATTGCCATCTTTAGTTTAATATATATGAATTCCTTCATTGCCCAGATATAAAATGTGTTCTTTCACACAATATTCAGTAATAGGGATGCAGATACATTAAATGTTTTGAAAGAGAAAAATATTTCCCTTTTCAATATTGTTCCATATTCTCACAACCACAATATGGAACTTTTTTTTGACTCTTTTTTTTTTATCACAGTCATTAAGCAAAACTTTCCCCCATTGACTTTGCTTGTTGCAGACTGGCTGGGAAAGTTGCACGTCATGATCACATGACCACAACATTGCAGCCATGGTAAATGTGAGCCAGTTACCGAGCACATAAATCACAGTCACTGGTCTAATGGATGGTGCGATGGTCATAACTTTGAGGAGAGATCATAGGTCATTTTTTCGGCACTGTCATAACCTCAAACCATCATTATACAAATAGTCATAAATCAAGGATTATCTATATCCTTGTATCAAACAGATGTCAAGATATAGATAGATAGAATATCTCCCTCTTCTAATAACTTGACATTTCTCTTTTCCATGCAAGTGAAACGATCCGCATATTATTGGCCAGATAGCAATGAAAACTAACGTAATTCTTTCCTTTCCCCAGAGTCTCCTTTGGTAGACATAAATGATGGACGTAACCTCGCCCCATCCTGTGCGGGGTTTTAAAGGTAATAACTGTAGCAATTCCTATCAGGGATAATAGCAACTGGCACATAACACAAAGTTGTACAAAGGCTCTCCTAGCCCATGACTGCCATCTGCTCTTCAATCAGGAGTCACAAGTGCAGGAGAATCCAAGTTATGGGCCGGGTCTGTCTGGGGTAGTGCAACCCAATTTATGCAATTTACATAGACTTCTGAAAAGCCTTTGACTCAGTAGTGCATGACAAACTACTGTTGAAACTAAGGTCTTACGGCATCTCTGGATCCCTGCACAAGTGGATAGCCATGTTCCTGTCCAACAGGCAACAAATAGTCAAAATAGGGAGGGCCCATTCAAATCTGGCATCTGTTAACAGCAGTGCCCCCCAAGGCAGCATTTTAGAAACCACACTCTTTCTGCTTTACATCAATAACCTATGTAATCATATTAAAAGCTGCTGTGTCCTCTTCGCTGAGGATAATGCAAGAAGAAAGATGGAAAGTTAGCAGCACAATAGCTGGCTCAAGAGATCATCACCAGTTTGTGCCAGTTGATTCAAATTTGACTTCTGTCAGCAACGTTTCAAATGACACGATTAAGTTTGTGACCAAAATGTCCAATAACGTCGAGCCGAATTTAATATTGGCTGACACATTTCCCGGTTGTTATGTTTCCTGCATTTATGACAAAATATGGTGGGTAGGCAACATCATGGAAATTTTGATCAAACACAATGATGCATTCCTAACATTTATGCATCCGCGAGACCCTGCTCATTCATTTTATTGGCCTGAAAGACAAGATGTTTGTTGGGGTTCCAGAATCACATCTTATTTGTGTGCTTCCAGCTCCTTCAGTTACATCATCAGGTCGATAGTATCAATTCCCAGAAGCGACACTAAAGAATGTAAATTCAATAATAAATAAGCGATTGTTGGAATTTGGCAGTTCATACAAACGGTATGGACTTTGGCTTGGAAACTATATAAGATACCCACTTTAGGCTTGGGAACCTAGGATAAGCTGCCCACTTGCCAGCTTGGGAACTGGACAGATACCAAAACAAGGCTTTGGAACCTCGAGGAAGAAACATAATCACATACTGATGATACCTCAATCCATGGTGGTGAATGGTCTCACCCAACAGCTTCATTAGTTGTTCAAAAGAAGTAGAAAGAGTACTGAGCCCTGTGGCATGCCATAAAGCAATGGTTGTGGGCTGGGCCACTAACTCCCTATCAACACCAATTAGAACCAAACTTGGAGAAAGGAGCCAAACCAGTGCAATAGTGCTCAGCCCTGAATCCTGTAGTTGGCCCAAAAGGATACTGTGGTTGATGGTATTGAAGGCTGATGAGAGGTTAAGGAGAAAAAGGATGGAAGAATATTCAGAATAGCACAAAATAAACCAAAAGCTACTTACCAACATTCCACCCTAAAAGGAAACAAAAGGAAACGATTGTCATAACTCCCTTGACTTCTCCAACCACATCATCATTGCCATCTTTAGTTTAATATATATGAATTCCTTCATTGCCCAGATATAAAATGTGTTCTTTCACACAACATTCAGTAATAGGGACCAAAGAGATGCAGACATATTAAAGGTTTTGAAAGAGAAAAATATTTTCCTTTTCAATATTGTTCCATATTCTCACAACCACAATATGGAACTTTTTTTTGTGACTTTTTTTTTATCACAGTCATTAAGCAAAACTTTCCCCCATTGAGTTTGCTTGTTGCAAATGGCCTGTTTTCGCCTCTGGAGGGCCTCCGGGAGGATGGGGAAGGCTGTTTTTGCCCTCCCCAGACTCCTGGAAACTGGGGACATCAAAAAACGGGCCTTCCCCACCACCCTCTGAGGCCCTCAGGAGGCAGGAAACAGCCTGTTTCCCTACTTCTGGCGGGCCCACAAGGCCCCAAAATCAGCTATACTGGTACGTGCATACCGATATGGCTACACATGCCACCTGTGGCATACGTACCATAGGTTCGCCATCACGGCTTTAGTGAATTCGGCAAGAATAACTCTCAGCTTCTCTCTCATGTTTTCTCTTTCCAGGCCTTAAAATGTGTTTTTCCAAAAAGGGATCCTGAAATCTACAGGAGATATGATGCATGGGGCATGAGGTATGAAAATAATGTTCAACCCTGTGCTCCAGGAAGACAAGGGGCATCAACATATCCTGAAGGTGCAAAAATGATGTTACACCTAATTTCATAATCATCTAAATTATGAACAATTCACTGCAACAAGAACACATCATCGTGCACATGTCATCATTTGTCATATTCCCCATGTTCCCATCCATGGTTCAGATCTAAATTCCCCCTCCCTTAGCTGCTCAGTCTCAGGAGGAATTTTCACCCCAATGTGGCACTATATCTATTTTTAAGGGAGTTATTTGTTTGTTTGTTTGTTTATTTATTTTTATTTATTTATTTGGCAGCCATCTTGCTAACAACATTAAAAGCAATTAAGTCATAAAAGCTAAATATTTCTAAAAACAATAAAAATAGAATTACACTCAAAAGTAATGTTACAATTAAAAAATGGGTAAGAAGTAGGATGTGTAAGGATGTGTGGGGGATGTTCTATTAATTTATCAACCACCTCCAATCAGATGCTCCCCTATTGGGAATATGGGGTGAGATGGTTCATCAGTTAACCTGGACCAATGCCATGCAGGATTTTAAAGGTAATAACCAAGTCCTTGAAAAGTTTCCTCCTGCACTGAAGAATTTATCTCTGCTTGAACCCACTTAACAAGACATTGTCCTGGTGGCTTTCACCAACCAAGCGTGTCAATGATCTAATTGACAGGTGGCTGCACTGATAGCATTGAGGTCCCTTTCCATTTCATTGGGTCCAACAGGATCAAACTGTACCCATATAACTGGTCAAGATCTTCCCCCAGACAGCTCACATGGACCTGCACCATGCTTGGATTCCAACTAGGAACTAATGTAATCAACTTTGTTCATCAGGTGAGCTTATGCTCTGGGGACTTTAGAGATGCTTTTGGTGTAGGTGGAAGAAAGATAAATGGGGTGCGTGTTCAGATGGAAGAATATTCAGAATAGCACAAAATCAAACAAAAGCTACTTACCGGATTTGCACCTCCTCCTCCACCACCCATCATTCCACCCTAAAAGGGAAACAAAAGAAAACTATTGTCATAGCACTCATGACTTCTCCAATCACCTCCTCTTTGCCATCTTTAGAGTAATATATATGAATTCCTTCATTGCCCTGATATAATATGCGTTCTTTCACGCAACATGCAGTAATAGGGATGAAAGACATGCAGACATATTAAATGTTTTGAAAGAGAAAAATATTTCCCTTTTCAATATTGTTCCACATTCTCACAACCACAATATGGAACTTTTTTTTTTTTGGTGACTTTTTTTATCGCAGTCATTAAGCAAAACTTTCCCCTATTGACTTTGCTTGTTGCTGACTGGCTGGGAAAGTTGCAAGTCATGATCACATAACCATAACCATCACTAAAGAAAGGATTACCTGTATGCTTGTATCAAACAGATGTCCAAATATAGATGGATAGAATATCTCTCTCCTCTAATAACTTCACATTTCTCTTTTCCATGCAAGTGAAGTGATCAGCATATTATTGGCCAGATAGTAATGAAAACTAACGTAACTCTTTTCATCCCCAAAGTCTCCTTCAGTTTCTTTCTGAAAAGAAAGAACCTGACGTAACCTGGACCCATGCCGTGTGGGGTTTTAAAGGTAATACCCAACTCCTTGAATTGCACCAGGAAGACTTCTGGTTAACACTGCGGCATTTTTCAGACACAGAGGAATGAGTTTCCATGTTTCCTGTGCTGAATTCTTTCTGTTTGTCGGCTCTGGAGGGAGCCAAAGCTGCCCTGTAGGGGCGGTGAAGCAAAGAGGGGCACCCTGTGAGGTTGAGGAGAGTCGTAGCTCTCCTGTCCGGCCCGTGGTTCTTTTTCCCTCTCAGCCATGGCAAGAAGAGGCAGCTAAAGATGGCTGCTACAAAGCTGGGACAACAGATGAACATCTAAGACTGGTGCTGGAGCGAAGTAGGTGAACAGTGACTGGAACTGGGGGAGAGGATTTTCCTTTTGCTTTAAATTTAACCCCAAGGAACAATTTAGAACTATTTGGCCACAATTATCTGTTTAAGCTGCATTTGAGCACTCTGAGTAATTGCCAGACTGGAAGTGAAGGGTGTAGGAGAGAAAATAATAAACTTTGAAATATATGGAAAATTGGACTCTTAAGCTGGGAAGATGTGGTACTGGGAAGGCATTTTAGAATCCTGGAATCTTTTACTTAGAAAAGTTATTCTAATTTTATAATTCTCCTATGAGTAAAAGAATGCTGAAATTGTTGCAATATTGAAATTTAACCTTAGAGTGCCATCTGCTGCTGAAAGGGGAAATAGCAGGTCTGAAAATAACTTTAAACTACCCTACGTTTACTGGAGACCCAAATATGAAAATCAGGAGGTTTTTTAACTAAAGGGACCCCTGAATCTTATGTTAGAAGATTGAACTTGTAAAGGAGATGCAAAAAGGCTTTTGACAACCTCTGGCATTACTTAAATATAATTGACTGTTAACCTATGGGACAGAAAGAACTGGGACTAGTATATTTCTTGAAGGGCAACTTCAAGACTGAATAAATAGTTTTTGGACTGTTGGACAAAAGTTGGATTCTTTCAAATAAAATAAGATGCTTTTTAAGGAAGAAATGAATGGAATTTTGAAGGAGATGGCTTTACTTTTTCAAAATACAAAAGACATCATGGAGAAAGGATTTAAGGAAGTCATGGAAAAAATGGAAAGAAGCATACGAGGGATGATGAGTAAAGATCAAGATGCCTAGGAAAGGGAGGAGTCAACAGAAGAAATGAAGGAAGAAGAAGACAAGGAGGAGACAACAATGGAAATAACAGTGATTGATGAATTAAACCAGGGGAAAAATGTATTAAGAGAGTTGGAAGATACCTTTGTAAGGGTGATAGGGGCTCGGGTAGAAATCTTGGAAATTAGGCAGTGGAAGAGGGTAGAGGTGGGAGAAATACCTAGATTGAATAGTCAAGAAGCAGTTATAGACAGAGATAAAGATCCTACAGAGGAATGTGGGAGGCAAATTAAAAAAAACCATAGCAACTAAAGTATCGAAGCGAGCAAGAGATGATGGATCGATGATTTCTTTTCTTTGTCGTTGCTCTGCTCTGCTTTTGCTTTTCTCTCGCTCTTTTCTTTTCTTTTCAGGTAGGTGCCATGATGAGAAGTTAGGTAGGATAGAAAGAAAATGTTTTTTAGTTAAAGGTGACATGACTAAAAGTTAGAATAAGTGATAGAAATAAGAGAAGGGAAATGTTAGGGTAGACACTGTAATATAATAAAATAAAAGTAACAATAAGAGAAAACAAGGAATAATTGAACATTGATAGATTGCAACTTATTATAGTTGTGTATCATTATTAGAAATACATAAGTTGATTGAATATAATAACCATGACTAATTTTACTAGGTTTATTTGTACTAGAATGTATGACACTCAGGTGTCACACTGTTCATGCATTGATGTAATATGTTTGTAAAAAAATAAAAAAAATAAAGAACTTTTTTAAAAAAGTGAATTGCACCAGGAAGCAAACCAGCAGCCAGTGCAGTTCATGAAGCAGTGGTGTAAAATGGCACATTCTAGGGGTCCCAAGAATGGCTATGCTGTTGCACTCTGCATCAGTTGTTGCTTCTGAAAGCTTACGTTTAACACCATGTAGAGTGCATTGCAGTAGGTCAAATGTGAGATGACCAGGGCTTGAGTGACCACAGCAATTCCTGATTAGGGATAAAAGCAACTGGCCATAACACAAAGTTGTACAAAGGCTCTCCTAGCCCATGACTGCCACCTGCTCTTCAATCAGGAGTCACAAGTGCAGGAGAACCCCAAGTCATGGCTTGGGTCTCTCTGGGGTAGTACAATCCCATCCAAAATTAAGGTTGTTGAAGTCCCAGATATTGCAATTCCATCCATACAAAGCCATTTGTCTGGGCAGGGTTCAATTGAAACCATCCAGCCCCTCAAAGCCTCCAGACACTGTGGGAGGGCAGCAGCACCATCACTTGGATCACCAGAGGTGGAGATATAAAGTTGAGCATAACCACATACTGATGATACCTCAACCCATGGTGGTGAATGGTCTCACCCAACAGCTTCATTACTTGTTCAAAAGAAGTAGAAAGAGTACTGAGCCCTGCGGCATGCCATAAAACAGTGGTTGTGGGCTGGGTCACTAACTCCCTATCAACACCGATTAGAGCCAAACTTGGAGAAAGGAGCCAAACCAGTGCAATAGTGCTCAGCCCTGAACCCTGTAGCTGGCCCAAAATGATACTGTGGTTGATGGTATTGAAGGCTGATGAGAGGTTAAGGAGAAAAAGGATAGTTGCATTATTCTGAGTGTCACCAACCTGGGGCTCCAGAGCCACATGCGGCTCTTTGGGCCCTCTGCTGCGGCTCCCTGTCAGGTGATCCCACCACTGGCTGGCCCCGCCCCTTGCTCTCCCCTCCCAGTCCCTCCTTGCCTGGCCTGAAAAGATAAGGACGATGACGGGAAATGGAGAAGTGGCCGGGGCAGAGACAGAGAGATACAGAAAGAGTGGGAGAGAGAGAGGCAGAGAGAGGGGGGAGAGAGGGAGAGGGGGGAGGGAGGAGAGAGAGATGTCAAAAGGGTTTTGAGGTTCCCGGTGCTTTTCAACAACCGGTTCTCTGCCCTGATGACCAGTTGGGTAGGCGTGGCTAGGGGGTCATGTGACTGATGGAAATGAGTGAAGTTGCGTTGGCCTCTCCCACCCAGGTTTTGTGGCTTCCGGTATTTTCTTTTCTGTGGAAAATGGGTCCAAAGGGCTCTTTAATGGCCTCCTTAAAAGCCCCCAGAACTGTCCCCTCCTGCAGTAAAGAATTCACCTCTGCTTGAACCCACCTAAAAGTCATCATCCTGGTGGCTTTCACCAACCAGGAGGGTCAATGATCTAATCGACAGATGACTGCGCTGAGAGCCTTGAGTACCCTGTTCATTTCATTGGGTCTAACACAGGGGTGAAATGCTACCTGTTCGCAGTGGTTCGGGCGAACCTGTAGCGGCGGTGGTGGGTGGTTCAGAGAACTGGTAGCGGCATCAGCATGAGGCTCCGCACACCTGCCCAGACATTGTTACTTCCTGGTTTTCACTAGGAAGTAACCTGTTTTTTACCCTCTGCACATACGCAGAAGGGTTTGCACATGTGCAGAGGATCCAAGCGTGCACGGAGGGACCGGTAGGAAAGGTAAGTAGATTTTACCCCTGGTCTAACAGGATTGAACTGGTAACTGATCAAGATCTTCCCCTGGACATCTCACATGGACATTCACCATGCTTGGGTTCCAACTGGGAGCAAATGTAATCAATTTTGTTCATCAGGTGAGCTTATGCTCTGGGGACGTTAGAGATGCTTTTGGTGTAGGTGGAAAGGAGATAAACGGGGTGCTTGTTCAGATGGGAGAATATTCAGAATAGCACAAAATAAACCAAAAGCTACTTACCAACAGATTACTCTAAAAGGGAAACAAAAGGAAACTAATGTCATAACACTCTTGACTTCTCCAACCACATCATCATTGCCATCTTTAGTTTAATATATATGAATTCCTTCATTGCCCAGATATAAAATGTGTTCTTTCACACAATATTCAGTAATAGGGATGCAGATACATTAAATGTTTTGAAAGAGAAAAATATTTCCCTTTTCAATATTGTTCCATATTCTCACAACCACAATATGGAACTGTTTTTTGTGACTCTTTTTTTTTTATCACAGTCATTAAGCAAAACTTTCCCCCATTGACTTTGCTTGTTGCAGACTGGCTGGGAAAGTTGCACGTCATGATCACATGACCACAACATTGCAGCCATGGTAAATGTGAGCCACTTACCGAGCACATAAATCACAGTCACTGGTCTAATGGATGGTGCGATGGTCATAACTTTGAGGAGAGATCATAGGTCATTTTTTCGGCACTGTCATAACCTCAAACCATCATTATACAAATAGTCATAAATCAAGGATTATCTATATCCTTGTATCAAACAGATGTCAAGATATAGATAGATAGAATATCTCCCTCTTCTAATAACTTGACATTTCTCTTTTCCATGCAAGTGAAACGATCCGCATATTATTGGCCAGATAGCAATGAAAACTAACGTAATTCTTTCCTTTCCCCAGAGTCTCCTTTGGTAGACATAAATGATGGACGTAACCTCGCCCCATCCTGTGCGGGGTTTTAAAGGTAATAACTGTAGCAATTCCTATCAGGGATAATAGCAACTGGCACATAACACAAAGTTGTACAAAGGCTCTCCTAGCCCATGACTGCCATCTGCTCTTCAATCAGGAGTCACAAGTGCAGGAGAATCCAAGTTATGGGCCGGGTCTGTCTGGGGTAGTGCAACCCAATTTATGCAATTTACATAGACTTCTGAAAAGCCTTTGACTCAGTAGTGCATGACAAACTACTGTTGAAACTAAGGTCTTACGGCATCTCTGGATCCCTGCACAAGTGGATAGCCATGTTCCTGTCCAACAGGCAACAAATAGTCAAAATAGGGAGGGCCCATTCAAATCTGGCATCTGTTAACAGCAGTGCCCCCCAAGGCAGCATTTTAGAAACCACACTCTTTCTGCTTTACATCAATAACCTATGTAATCATATTAAAAGCTGCTGTGTCCTCTTCGCTGAGGATAATGCAAGAAGAAAGATGGAAAGTTAGCAGCACAATAGCTGGCTCAAGAGATCATCACCAGTTTGTGCCAGTTGATTCAAATTTGACTTCTGTCAGCAACGTTTCAAATGACACAATTAAGTTTGTGACCAAAATGTCCAATAACGTCGAGCCGAATTTAATATTGGCTGACACATTTCCCGGTTGTTATGTTTCCTGCATTTATGACAAAATATGGTGGGTAGGCAACATCATGGAAATTTTGATCAAACACAATGATGCATTCCTAACATTTATGCATCCGCGAGACCCTGCTCATTCATTTTATTGGCCTGAAAGACAAGATGTTTGTTGGGGTTCCAGAATCACATCTTATTTGTGTGCTTCCAGCTCCTTCAGTTACATCATCAGGTCGATAGTATCAATTCCCAGAAGCGACACTAAAGAATGTAAATTCAATAATAAATAAGCGATTGTTGGAATTTGGCAGTTCATACAAACGGTATGGACTTTGGCTTGGAAACTATATAAGATACCCACTTTAGGCTTGGGAACCTAGGATAAGCTGCCCACTTGCCAGCTTGGGAACTGGACAGATACCAAAACAAGGCTTTGGAACCTCGAGGAAGAAACATAATCACATACTGATGATACCTCAATCCATGGTGGTGAATGGTCTCACCCAACAGCTTCATTAGTTGTTCAAAAGAAGTAGAAAGAGTACTGAGCCCTGTGGCATGCCATAAAGCAATGGTTGTGGGCTGGGCCACTAACTCCCTATCAACACCAATTAGAACCAAACTTGGAGAAAGGAGCCAAACCAGTGCAATAGTGCTCAGCCCTGAATCCTGTAGTTGGCCCAAAAGGATACTGTGGTTGATGGTATTGAAGGCTGATGAGAGGTTAAGGAGAAAAAGGATGGAAGAATATTCAGAATAGCACAAAATAAACCAAAAGCTACTTACCAACATTCCACCCTAAAAGGAAACAAAAGGAAACGATTGTCATAACTCCCTTGACTTCTCCAACCACATCATCATTGCCATCTTTAGTTTAATATATATGAATTCCTTCATTGCCCAGATATAAAATGTGTTCTTTCACACAACATTCAGTAATAGGGACCAAAGAGATGCAGACATATTAAAGGTTTTGAAAGAGAAAAATATTTTCCTTTTCAATATTGTTCCATATTCTCACAACCACAATATGGAACTTTTTTTTGTGACTTTTTTTTTATCACAGTCATTAAGCAAAACTTTCCCCCATTGAGTTTGCTTGTTGCAAATGGCCTGTTTTCGGCCTCTGGAGGGCCTCCGGGAGGATGGGGAAGGCTGTTTTTGCCCTCCCCAGACTCCTGGAAACTGGGGACATCAAAAAACGGGCCTTCCCCACCACCCTCTGAGGCCCTCAGGAGGCAGGAAATAGCCTGTTTCCCTACTTCTGGCGGGCCCAGAAGGCCCCAAAATCAGCTATACTGGTACGTGCATACCGATATGGCTACACATGCCACCTGTGGCATACGTACCATAGGTTCGCCATCACGGCTTTAGTGAATTCGGCAAGAATAACTCTCAGCTTCTCTCTCATGTTTTCTCTTTCCAGGCCTTAAAATGTGTTTTTCCAAAAAGGGATCCTGAAATCTACAGGAGATATGATTGCATGGGGCATGAGGTATGAAAATAATGTTCAACCCTGTGCTCCAGGAAGACAAGGGGCATCAACATATCCTGAAGGTGCAAAAATGATGTTACACCTAATTTCATAATCATCTAAATTATGAACAATTCACTGCAACAAGAACACATCATCGTGCACATGTCATCATTTGTCATATTCCCCATGTTCCCATCCATGGTTCAGATCTAAATTCCCCCTCCCTTAGCTGCTCAGTCTCAGGAGGAATTTTCACCCCAATGTGGCACTAGATCTATTTTTAAGGGAGTTATTTGTTTGTTTGTTTGTTTGTTTATTTTTATTCATTTATTTGGCAGCCATCTTGCTAACAACATTAAAAGCAATTAAGTCATAAAAGTTAAATATTTCTAAAAACAATAAAAATAGAATTACACTCAAAAGTAAAGTTACAATGAAAAGATGGGTAAGAAGTAGGATGTGTAAGGATGTGTGGGGGGTGTTCTATTAATTTACCTACCACTCCAATCAGATGCTCCCCTATTGGGAATATGGGGTGAGATGGTTCATCAGTTAACCTGGACCAATGCCATGCAGGATTTTAAAGGTAATAACCAAGTCATTGAAAAGTTTCCTCCTGCACTGAAGAATTTATCTCTGCTTGAACCCACTTAACAAGACATTGTCCTGGTGGCTTTCACCAACCAAGCGTGTCAATGATCTAATTGACAGGTGGCTGCACTGATAGCATTGAGGTCCCTTTCCATTTCATTGGGTCCAACAGGATCAAACTGTACCCATATAACTGGTCAAGATCTTCCCCCAGACAGCGCACATGGACCTGCACCATGTTTGGATGCCAACTAGGAACTAATGTAATCAACTTTGTTCATCAGGTGAGCTTATGCTCTGGGGACTTTACAAATGCTTTTGGTGTAGGTGGAAGAAAGATAAATGGGGTGCGTGTTCAGATGGAAGAATATTCAGAATAGCACAAAATCAAACAAAAGCTACTTACCGGATTTGCACCTCCTCCTCCACCACCCATCATTCCACCCTAAAAGGGAAACAAAAGAAAACTATTGTCATAGCACTCATGACTTCCCCAATCACCTCATCATTGCCATCTTTAGAGTAATATATATATATTCCTTCATTGCCCAGATATAATATGCATTCTTTCACGCAACGTGGAGTAATAGGGACCAAAGAGATGCAGACATATTAAATGTTTTGAAAGAGAAAAATATTTCCCTTTTCAATATTTTTCCACATTCTCACAACCACAATATGGAACTTTTTTTGTGACTCTTTATATTCAGAATAGCACAAAATAAACCAAAAGCTACTTACCAACATTCCACCCTAAAAGGGAAACAAAAGGAAACTATTGTCATAGCACTCATGACTTCTCCAACCACATCATCATTGCCATCTTTAGTGTAATATATATGAATTCCTTCATTGCCCAGATATAAAATGTGTTCTTTCACACAACATTCAGTAATAGGGATGCAGATATATTAAATGTTTTGAAAGAGAAAAATATTTCCCTTTTCAATATTGTTCCATATTCTCACAACCACAATATGGAACTGTTTTTTTGTGACTCTTTTTTTTTTTATCACAGTCATTAAGCAAAACTTTCCCCCATTGACTTTGCTTGTTGCAGACTGGCTGGGAAAGTTGCACGTCATGATCACATGACCACAACACTGCACCCATGGTAAATGTGAGCCAGTTACCGAGCCCTAAATCACAGTCACTGGACTAATGGATGGTGCGATGGTCATAACCAGTGGTGGGCTTCAAAAATTTTAGCAAGGGGTTCTCTGCCTGGTTGCTGGGTGGGCGTGGCCATGGTGGGCTTGGCCTAGTTGGCCTCCTGCACCATGGTAGTGGGGGGGAGGAGTTTGTGCTTCCTCGAACCTCAAGGAGCATGAAAATGCCCCCCCCCCCAAGCTCTTGAAGTCCACTGGAGGACGTAAACCGGTCCGTTTCCAGTCTTCTTGAATATCCAGTAGGCCCATTTTTCACCCTCCTCAAGCCTCCGCATTCACCCTGTTCTTACCTGTATCCAAAATGGGCTGCGTAGCGACTCCTAGGAAGTGCGGGGTCAGCCAAGAGTGGGATTTGGGGTTTTTTTGAACTGCACAGAATCTTAGCTAGAGGTTCTCCCGAACCCCTGCGAGCCCCCAGTAGCCCACTACTGGTCGTAACTTTGAGGACCAGTCATAGGTCATTTTTTTCAGCCCTGTCATAACCTCAACCCATCGTTATAGAAATAGTCGTATATTCAGGTTCCTTCTATATGTGTATCAAACAGATGTCCAGATATAGATGGATAGAATATCTCTCTCCTCTAATAACTTCAGTTTTCTCTTTTCCATGAAAGTGAAATGATCAGCATGTTATTGACCAGATAGCAATGAAAACTAATTCTTTCTTTCCTTCCCCAAAGTCGGCTTCAGTTTCTTTCTGAAAAGAAAGAAACTGATGTAACCTGGACCCATGCCGTGCAGGGTTTTAAAGGTAATAAACAACTCCTTCAATTGCAACAGGAAGCAAACCAGCAACCAGTGCAGTTCATGAATTAATGGTGTAACATGGCACATTCTAGGGATCCAAAGAATGGCTATGCTATTGCACTCTGCACCAGTTGTAGCTTCTGAAAGCTTAAGTTTAACCCATGTAGAGTGAATAGCAGTAATACAAATGTAAGATGACCAGGGCTTAAGTGACCATAGAAATTCCTGATTAGGGATAATAGCAACTGGCACATAACACAAAGTTATACAAAGGTTCTCCTAGCCCATGACTGCCACCTGCTCTTCAATTAGAAGTCAGGAGTGCAAGAGAACCCCAAGTTACGGACTGGGTCTGTCTGGGGTAATGCAACCGCATCCAAAATTAAGATTGTTGAAGTCCCAGATATTGCAACTTTTTTAGAAATCTACAGGGGATATTCTGGAATTAAGAAGAAACTTCCTAACAATGAGAACAAATAACCAACTTTTCCAGGGTTGCCTTCAAGAGTTTTGGGTACTTCAACACTGGAGGTTTTAAGAGACTGAACAACCAATTGTCTGAAATGGTATAGGACAGTGATGGCTCCCTCTCCATTTCATTGGGTCCAACAGGATCAAACTGTACCCATATAACTGGTCAAGATCTTCCCCCAGACAGCGCAAATGGACCTGCACCATGCTTGGATTCCAACTAGGAACTAATGTAATCAACTTTGTTCATCAGGTGAGCTTATGCTCTGGGGACTTTAGAGATGCTTTTGGTATAGGTGGAAGAAAGATAAATGGGGTGCTTGTTCAGATGGAAGAATATTCAGAATAGCACAAAATCAAACAAAAGCTACTTACCAGTCCATCCTAAAAGGGAAACAAAGGGAAACTAATCTTGACTTCTCCAACCACATCATCATTGCCATCTTTAGTTTAATATATATGAATTCCTTCATTGCCCAGATATAAAATGTGTTCTTTCACACAATATTCAGTAATAGGGATGCAGATATATTAAATGTTTTGAAAGAGAAAAATATTTCCCTTTTCAATATTGTTCCATATTCTCACAACCACAATATGGAACTTTTTTTTGACTCTTTTTTTTTATCACAGTCATTAAGCAAAACTTTCCCCCATTGACTTTACATGTTGCAGACTGACTGGGAAAGTTGCAAGTCATGATCACATGACCACAACACTGCAGCTATGATAAATGTGAGCCACTTACCGAGCACCTAAATCACAATCACTGGACTAATGGATGGTGTGATGGTCATAACCAGGGGTGGGCTTCAAAATTTTAGCAAGGGGTTTTCTGCCCGCTTGCTGGTTGGGCGTGGCCATGGTTGGCTTGCCCTAGTCGACCTCCTGCACCACGCCGGGGGGAGGGCATTTGTGCTGTCGTCCCCCCCCCCCGCCCTAGTACATGAACTACGGTGGGGGAGAGCATTTGTGCTTTGCCCCCCCCGGCGAGTAGTACATGAACATGTACTTGCAACAGGAAGCAAACCAGCAACCAGTGCAGTTCATGAAGCAGTGGTGTAAAATGGCACATTCTAGGGGTCCCAAGAATGGCTATGCAAAGCACAAATGCTCTCCCCCACCGTAGTTCATGTACTAGGGCGGGGGGGGACGACAGCACAAATGCCCTCCCCCCGGCGTGGTGCAGGAGGTCGACTAGGGCAAGCCAACCATGGCCACGCCCAACCAGCAAGCGGGCAGAAAACCCCTTGCTAAAATTTTTGAAGCCCACCCCTGGTTATGACCATCACACCATCCATTAGTCCAGTGATTGTGATTTAGGTGCTCGGTAAGTGGCTCACATTTATCATAGCTGCAGTGTTGTGGTCATGTGATCATGACTTGCAACTTTCCCAGTCAGTCTGCAACATGTAAAGTCAATGGGGGAAAGTTTTGCACCAGTTGTAGCTTCTGAAAGCTTAAGTTTAACCCATGTAGAGTGAATTGCAGTAATACAAACGTAAGATGACCAGGGCTTGAGTGACCGCAGGGATTCCTGACTATTCAGGAAGAATATTCAGAATAGCACAAATAAAACAAAAGCTACTTACCATCATTCCACCTCCACCTCCACCACCCAAGCCCTAAAAAGGAAATAAAAGGAAACTATTGTCATAACATTATAATTGCAATCTTTATATTTTCTGTGTGTTTGTGTGTGTGTGTGCGTGTGTGTGCGTGTGTGCGTGTGTGTGAATTCCTTCATTGTCCAGATATAAAGTGTGTTCTTTCACACAACCCCATGTAGACTGAATTGCAGCAGTTCAAATGTGAGATGACCAGGGCTTGAGTGACCACAGCAATTCCTGATCAGGGATAATAACAACTGGCACATAACACAATGTTGTACAAGGGCTCTCCTAGCCCATGACTGCCACCTGCTCTTCAATCAGGAGTCACAAGTCCAGGAGAACCCCAGGTTACTGTCTGGGTCTGTCTGGGGTAGTTCAACCCCATCCAAAATTAAGGAAGTCCCAGATATTGCAACTCCATGCAACACAAAACCCCAAGTTATGGGCTGAGTTGACAGGTGGCCGCACCGACAGTGTTAAGGTTCCTGCCCATTTCATTGGGTCCAACAGGATTGAACTGTTCCCAAATAACTGGGCAAAACCTTCCTCTGGGCATCTCACACAGACTTGGGTTCCAACTGGGAACAAATATAATCAACTTTGTTCATCCGATGAGCTTATGCTTTGGGGACTTTAGAGTTGTTTTTGGTATAAGCGGAAGAAAGATAAAGGGGGTTCTTGTTCAGAATATTCAGAATAGCACAAAATAAAACAAAAGCTACTTACCAACATTCCACCCTAAAAGGGAAACAAAAGGAAACAATTGTCATAACACTCTTGACTTCTCCAACCACATCATCATTGCCATCTTTACTGTAATATATATAAATCCCTTCATTGTCCAGATATACAATAATAAATGTTTTGAGATATTTTCTTTTCCATATTGTTCCCTATTCTCACAACCACAATATGGACCTTGTTTTGTGACTTTTTTTTAATCACAGTCATTAAACAAAACTTTCCCCATTGACTTTGTTTGTTGCAGGCTGGCGGGGAAAGTTGCAAGTTGTGATCACATGACCACATGAAATGAACATCATGTTATTGGCCAGATATTAATGAAAACTAAGTTAACTCTTTTCTTCAACCAAAATCTCCATCAGTTTCTTACTTTAAAAGAATGGACCAAACCAATTAAATTTGGAGGGAAGCACTAATGAAAAATGAATTTGGTAGCTGTTGAGAAATTATTGCATTCTATTCCTACTGCCAACTATGCCAATCAGAGTCCACTGCAGAATAAAAGCCATAAGAAGACATCTACCCTCCTTCAATGCTGCAGCCTTTCTTCTAAGCATTCCCTCAAAGTTTTTGTTGATGTAGCCAAGTAAATGAATCAAGTTTTGGGGGTGTCCAAGAAGCCTTGACACAATATGTGAATTAAAAGTCAAACATTGAGCTTCCTTAGTTGTTTATAGGTAATATAACTACATATACATATATACTATATACATCTTGGGTGCCAATGAACCTGTGAATTTTGCTCTATCTCTATTTTTACTCGTTACTAATATCTTTTCCACCAAAGGAGTTTTCAGCCTTCTGTATTGGTCCAACTCAGTAGGTCCAACAAGAAGTTATTTCTGATGCTAAGGTGAATACCGAGAAAGCTCAGGCAAAAAACAGGATGCCAACCTGAATGCAGAACCAGGGATACGGTTAAATTCTCAACGATTAAATGATTTACTCTAAGACCTCTGCCTGATTTTTGAAATCCTTTATGAAGAAATGTGTTAATTAAAGCATGAGAACATGGTCAACAAAATGCTTATTCATCTCACCTGCACCCCAACTGAAAGGCTATTACAACTCACAAAATGTAGCCTTACCTGTTGGGCAGAAAGCGTAAAAGTCAAAGCAAAGACTAAAAGGAGATACATCTTGTTGCTGTTCAGTTCTTCTGGTCCTTGATGTTCTTCTAAGTGACTTTACTCAGCTTCACCGCCACATTTTAATACCTCAATCTGCATGCTTCATTTCCCAAACCCAATACCTCCATTGTTTCTTGATTTACAAGGAAATGTTAGGCATACATTGCATCATGCACAATTATTCCATGATCCATGCTTAAATTGAAGCTAAAAAGAGTGGTCAATACCTGGAATGCCCTACCTGACTCTGTGGTTACTTCCCCAAACACCCATAACTTTAACCTTAGACTGTCTACTGTGGACCTCACCCCATTCCTAAGAGGTCTGTAAGGGGGCATGCATAAGCACACCAACGTGCCTACCATCCCTGTCTTACTGTTCCCATTTATTTGTACCCATTTTCTGTATTCATAATAATGTTTTATACTTATATCTGTTACTTTACGTTTTTGACAAATAATAATAAATAAAATAAAAAAATAAATAAAAATAGAGATTGTGTGAAGTTTTAACATCATGGAAGAACTATCATGGAAGAATGGGCCTCTTTCTCTCAGGTCTACCAGAGTTCAGCCTCATCAATCCAGATGACCATTTAAATGGCAGGACAGAATTAACAACAGAATAACAGAGTTGATCTTGGAAGTCTTCTACTCTGAGCTCCCCCCAGAGATACGGAGGATCCCGGATCTGCGCACCTTCCGCCGCGCCTTAAAGACCTTACTATTTCACCAGGCCGGCCTGGCCTAAATTTCCCCCTCTTTTATAAAAGATTTTTAAAATTTTAAATATCTTTTAGTATTTATATATTCAATTTTAAATTGGTTTTAAAAGTTTGGGGTTTTAAATTTGTCGGGGCCAAAATTATTTAATTTGATTTTATTCTATTTTTAAATTTTGTATTGTATGTGTTTTTATTGTTTGGCTGTGCACCGCCCTGAGTCCTTCGGGAGTAGGGTGGTATAGAAATCTAATAAAATGAAATAAAATGAAAAATGAAATGCCCTGCTCAGGCAGGAGACCTTATACCATTTCAGAACTGGAATTGTTCCAGGAATTGTCCAATATAAAAATCAGGTTTTGTATTCTACAATTTGTGTAAGCATTTCTTTGGGATCTTCTTACTGGTGGCAACATAAACAGGGAATTCTTTCTGGGTTTTTTTTTCAGTTGACATCTGAAAAACCCCCCACCTCTTTCCTTGTCCATTTGCAGGGTGACATTTATTCCAGCAGAAATTCTTCCATACTTCTTTAAAAAAAACAAAAACAAACCTTCCTCTTAATTTTTGCAATGATATTTATTATTTGTCAGTTTGTTTGGATTGGTAGTCTACTTGTTCATTGGTTCCTTTCTTAATTATTTTATCTTAGGTCCATTTTTTCTCTCCAGGAGTTCAAGATGAGATATCTAACAGATCTTCCTATTACTTTTCCATACAAAATTGGGCTGTGATGGAGCCAAAGTCACAGGTGGAAACTACATGGTTAAAAGTGCCCCATAACCTGTATCTGTCTGATCCTAATCCAATATTGAACACCTCACCCTATTATTTTTATAAGACTATTTTTTATTGGACCTTGAGTGTAGTTCTGGTTCGGAGGAGAATGATATAAAAATAATTATCCAGCATGGAATCATGGTTGATCACCTTAATTAAACGTTTTGCTCTGATGATGAGATGATTCACTCTATGCCTAGAAAACACGGGAGGAGGAGCAGCTTAATCGAGCGGTAAATTCAGTGCAAAAAATAAATAAACACGCCAAGCATATCTAATCTCTCCATCTGTATCTTCTGGCTAGGAATCAGTGGAAAAAGTTCCTTCAGTTCTCTACCAAAGATGATAAGAATAGTTACACTGACCACCAGCAGGGATTTTATGATTAGATTCATCCTGTTTCAGATTCTTCAGACATATGATGACAGATATTATTCCATTGGATGTAAACCTCTACTAAGAATTGAACCCATGCACAATTGTATTTTAGACAACTATATACAGGTAGTCAGGGACGTGGTGGCTCAGATGCTGAGCTTGTCGATCGAAAGGTCGGCAGTTCAGCGGTTTGAATCCCTAGTGCCACGTAATGGAGTGAGCTCCCGTTCCTTGTCCCAGCTTCTGCCAACCTAGCAGTTCGAAAGCACATAAAAAATGCAAGTAGAAAAATAGGGACCACCTTTGGTGGGAAGGTAACAGGATTCCATGCAGTGGTGAAATTCAACTTTTTTGACTACCGGTTCTGTGGGCATGGTTTGGTTGGCGTGGTGTGGCTTGGTGGGCATGGCTTGGTGGGCATGGCAGGGGAAGGATACTGCAAAATCTCCATTCCCACCCACTCTGGGGCCAGCCAAAGGTGGTATTTCCCAGTTCTCCAAATTACTCAAAATTTCACTACCAGTTCTCTAGAACCTGTCAGAACCTGCTGGATTTCATCCCTGGTTCCATGTGCCTTTGGCGTTTAGTCATGCCAGCCACATGCCAGTCATGCCAGCCACGGAGATGTCTTTGGACAGCGCTGGCTCTTCGGCTTTGAAACGGAGATGAGCACCACCCCTTAGAGTCCGGAACAACTAGCACATATGTGCGAGGGGAACCTTTACCTTTACCGATACAGGTAGTCCTCAACTTACCACAGTTCATTTAGTGACGATTTGAAGTTACAACATCAGTGACCATTTTTCACACCTATGAGTGTTGCAGTATCTCCATGGTCACATGAGAAAAATTTAGATGCTTGGCAACTGACTCATATTTATGATGGTTGCAGTGTCATGTGATCCCCTTTGCTTTTCTGATGAGCAAAGTCAGTGGGGAAGCCATATTCACTTAACAACCATGTTATCAACTTAACAACTGCAGTGATTCACTTAACAACTGTGGCATGAAAGGTTGTAAAAACGGGGCAAAGCTCACTTAACAAACCTCTCACTTAGCAACAGAAATTAGGAAATTAGAAAACTAGGGAGAGTCCCTTCCAAAATGTTTCCAGCACTTTTCCTTCAGGGGTGGGCTGCTGGGGGTTCACAGAGGTTTGGGAGAACCTCTAGCTAAGATTTATGTGCAGTTCGGAGAACCCCCAAATCCCACTCCTGGCTGGCCCCACCCACCCCTCCCCTCCCAGGAGTCCCCACGCAGCCTGTTTTGGATGTAGGTAAGTGCAGGGCATGTACGGAGGCTCAGTGAGGGCAAAAAACAGGCCTACTGGAAGATCAGGAAGGCCAGAAATGGGCCCATTTCCAGCCTCCAGAGGGCGTCTGGAGCCTGGGGAGGCCATTTTTGCCCTCCCAGAGGCTTGAGGAAAACCTCCAGAGCCCAGGGACGGCAAAAATGCCACCACCACCCCCATCATGGTGCAGGAGACCAACTAGGCCACGCCCACCATGGCCACGTCCACCCAGCAACCAGGCCAAGAACCCCTTGCTAAAATTTTGAAGCCCACCCCTGCTTTCCTTTGATTTAATTATCCAGTCTGCAGCTCTCTCAAGGACCTTTGGACAAACTATTACCATAAAAACGAATTATCTGTTTTCAAACTGGGAAGTAAGAAAGGAGGGAGATGCAAAAGATCTACTTGGAAGAAAAGAAGACATTATTTTTTAAAAAAATGCAGTAAATAGCTGTCCAGTTTGTTCTACTCTAGGGCACGGTGCTCATCTCTGTTTCCTAGCTGAGAATGCCAGTGTTGTCTTCCGTGGTACACTACTTCTGTGGTACACTACTTTGGTGACTGTACACCAAAGTGCACAGAATGCTGCTACTTCCCTACCAAAATGGTATCTATTTATCTACTTGCATTTGCATGCATTCAAGCTGCTAGTGTCAGGTTTTCAGGCTGTCTTCAAATAAATTGCATCGCAAGCAAAGTCTTTCATAAAACAAACTTTCATTTTATTAAGGACAGCACTTTTTACATTGACTCGTTGTAGCCGGCACTGACGTGCTGCCCAACAACCCCTCCTCTTCCTTCCCCCACTCCTCTGCATTCATTGGCCATCTTCCCAATCATTCACCCCTAATCTACTGCTCCAAATCAAAGAATTTCCCCCCTCCAATCCATCTCCTAGGGGACATTATCTCCAGAGGAAGTAAGTAGGTGAAAGGCAACCGTCCCGTTGCAGATGCCTGCGTTCTCCTTCTTATGTCAGCACTAGGATAAATGCATCTTGACGTGCTGACAGCTAGGTTGTCAGGAGCTGGGGCAAAAACAAGATACTTGGGTCTCAGACTGCCAACCTTTTTGTCGACAAACCCAGCATCTTAACTACTAGGTCGTTAAGGAATTATTAATAAGCATATCTATCGTGTTTATGAATACCATTATTTTAGTACAGATTTTATTACAGGGCATAATCTTATTCATTCTGCTTCATCTTGGTCTGTTTCAAGTATTTTCTGGGACTTCCAAATGCTACTTTATCATATGATAGCATCCAGCAACATAAACCACTACCAATCCTGTTCCATTGTTGAAAGGAACCTCACAGTTTTGCACCTTATAAACCAGGGAAATAAATAGCAGCAATAAAAGAAAGGTGTCATCAACGTCCTTCTGTAGAAAACTGACGCACAAAAATATAAACTCTGGATGCTGACGCTCAGTTGCTTCCTTGCCACTTGAAGATCTTTCCCAAGATATGTCATTTGTTATGGAGTGGTAGTCAGGATCATTAACCATAAAGGGGAGAGGACTTTCTCAGAGAAGCTGTTATAAACGAGAGAAGGTGTGAAGGAAAGTATGTAGAATGTAGAAAATGGGCAAGCTAGAAGGAAGGACACGCAACCTATGCCAATTGATGAGCTACTTCTTCAGAATCTTGGAACTTTGGTTGCCTAATATGATAATGATATCTCTGCAATCTGAAAACCTAGTTAGGAAAACCCCAACAATCCAACCTGCACCCTGAGCTTCACCCAGTGGTGGGTTGCCCCCGGTTAGGACCGGTTCGCAAGAACTGGTAGTAAAACCGGTGGGAGGCTCCACCCACCAACCCAGACGTCATCAGGAAGCTTCTGCACATGCCCCGTTGTGAACCAGTAGTAAGGGAGCCTGGATAGCTTAACAGACGAAAAAAGCCTGTTTTTAACATTCAGCTATCCGCAATTATTGCAAGTTCGAATCTCACCAGGCTCAAGGTTGACTCAGCCTTCCATCCTTTCTAAGGTAGGTAAATTGAGGACCCAGTTTGTGGGGGCAATAA